AAAGTGCCCCCCGCGAACCGCTTTACTTACACTGAACAATTAAAAAAAAAAAAAAAGGAAAAATATCGTTGCGCGCAGAATCTTTTAGATGCTTGCCAAGATTTTACGTTTAAAAGTATCTCTAAAATCTGATTCTATTTCAATCCTTTAAATTGCAACAATCAACCTGAAAAAAGATTTTAAATTCCAACGTGATCCCTTTCTCTTGATTATAAATTAATACCTACGATAGAATCTTCGATACCAGCGATTAACAAACATTCGCAAAGAATATTTCCCATGATTGAATATCATCCAATATTACAAAATCCTTTGTTTCTCCAACCTCCAAAAAAATTCGTACCATCATTCCTTCCCAAATCCTTCCCTCCTTTTAATCATCTTCCTATCCAACGAGCGCGCAGGGCTCTCTCTCCCCCGTAATCAAAGAGACACCGCGGCGCGGTGCTCTCTCCTCGCGGTTTTCACTCGCGTCGTCTGTCGAAAGAACTGTCGCATCTCCTCCTCGCGAGCCACGCGTGAAGTCTCGAGGATCTCTTGCCCTCCCGGGCAGAGGAGGGGAGGAAACGAGGGAAAGCGAGGCATAAAATTGCATTTGCCTCGCAGCTGACGGGCAGCGTCGTACGTGCACCCCTTCTTCCGTTTGCTCGTTTGAAGGGCCGGCGACCCGTGCGGCCCTCCTCGTTCGTCCCTCCGCACCGGCGCCGATTTAATCAAGTCCAGCCGCGGAAAAATATTATGCCAGGACTCTCGATCCCCCGGTCGACGACGACGACGAACGGACGACGACTTGGTTTCATAGTAAATTCGCCGCGCGTACGTTGCAGAAGGTGAGAGAAAGAGAGAAAGAGAGAAAAAGAGACACGGCGAGAAAAGGTTTGTTTGGAAGAGAAGGGATGATACTTCCGGATTCGTTTCGAATTCACGCCACGCGTTACTTCTTCCGGTAAATATTTACAGGTAGATCGCGTAGGCGTAGATCGTCTTACTTGCTCTAATTGAGACGGATTGGACGGTCTGTGAGGGGTTTGTTTCGTAGCTTTAACGGGGAAATCGATTTCTCTTTAAGTAAGTTGGCGAGATTATTGTATCACGTTTCGATCATCAATGTTTCAAAGTTGCAAAAATATTATTTTTTTTTGGAATATTATTCTTTGGAATAATTTCTATTGAACGCAACGTGACAATTTCTACGATTTCAAATCGCGCGTGAACGCGAAGTTAATGAAGTTTGTTTAACACACGTATAAATCGTGTTGCACGATACACGTTTTAGAGACGATTTAACTCGAGTCTCGAGTCTCGCGAGGCAGCAGCCCAGCTAATATGTTAATGGTAACAAGCGCATCCGGATAATAGAATATAACGCTCGATCGAAGAAGCCGCGAGTATCGCGCGAAGGATGAAAGTTATAGATGTAAGATGGTATTGCTCCTCTCAGGATCGAAGCACCACTCAGAGAGAGTAGGTTCGATTGTCTCATGCATTGTACAGGCGGCAAGGGATCGGAAATGCCTCGAGAAATTGATATTGGCTCCTTCGTATAACTTGCACGAGGCCGCCGAATTGGGACAATTCTATTATCTTCGAGGCCGCGATGTTTCGAGTACTGTTTCCAAGATTTAAGACGGTTTAATTCGCGAATCGTTCGACGTCGAAAACTTCTCGAATATACGTTGGCTCGTTTCCGAATTCACCATATATATCTATAAAGAGGGGAATGAAGATCGATCCTCGAAAAGAGAGAGAGAGAGAGAGAGAGGATAGAGGGAGGATTAAATCACCACAGGAGACAGCGTTCAACGGTGTCGTCGATTTCTTCGTTTTCGAACGGGACGCTTGTCGCCTTGTTAAAATTTTCCAGGTCGAAGACACCTTTTCGGTTTGGACACCGTTTCTCTCGATGACGAAGTCACGGGGCCAAACCCCTTTTCTTCGTGGATGAACTCGTCAAGCGCGGATTAAGCACCAACGCGGCCTTTCAACCAAGATTCTTTCTGCTTTCTACCACTTTTCCTCGATCCTATACGAAACGTACCTTTCCCTGTGTACATGTAATTCCATCGCGAGATTTCCATACGCGATTCTGAATTACTTTTAATTGGTGGAACGGTTTAATTGGCTCCAGTTTTTTGACGAGAAATCGCTACGCGAAATCGGCGCAAATAGGAGGAACGAACGAAATTGAAGGAAATTATTTCGCAAAATTAATTAAAATTATTATTTCACTTAAGACTGATAAATTTCGATTTTCTTTTTTATTAACAATAAAACTTACTTGAAAGAGAAAACGCTATTTTGCATTATCCATCAGCCTTGTATATGGCAGGAAGGCCATCGACTCACACGTTTCAATTTTTCCTTCCTGTATCCGGGTGCGGTGCACGCCTCTATAATGGGCATAATGAATCGGTGGGACGAGAGCAAGAAACCCGACTAGCTGGGAGGAGAATTCGCGACCAACGAAAGTAAGTCTGAAGGGTGAAAAATCGTAGTAGTGACTAATGATTTCTCGCTTGACCTGGTTCCCAGTTTCCCCGCCACTTTGAACGGGGCACAACACGCGCGTTTTGTGTCCGGGCGCGTATTCGTTTCTCCACGTTTTTTAAGGCTGCAAGGCCGTAGGCAGAAAAGGGATGAATGCGAGGAAAAAAAGGATGATTATTTTTTTTCTCCCCTCTTCTTTTTTTCTCTTCTCTCTCTCTCTCTCTCTCTTTTTTTCGCGCTGTTTTCACGACGTCGAACACCACGTAAATTCCACTCGTTTGTGCGGCGAACGAGTGACCGGTTAATTACAACGATGCCAAGGTCCGTCGAACAGTTGTTGGTAAATTGATAAAAGGGAAAAAAGAGAGAGAGAGAAAGAGAAATTGAAGGGGTGAAACGACAGAATGGAGGCGCGTGAAGCTCGACGAAATTACTTTGTACGAACGGCATCATGTGCTCTTCTCTCGCGGTGTACCGCGAGCAGTCGCCTCTCGAGAAAGAAACGCTTCAGAAAATAAAAAATACCCATAGACGCCAACAATAGCACACTCTGCGAGTCTAGACTCGAAATAAAACCCCGAGTCCCACTGTGAAATAACCGACAGGCACACGCGTTTCTTTCCAACCGTTCATTCCGCTGCGATTCGAGTTATATACCATACGTTACACTATTGGTTTTTAAAATAAGAGTAATTATCAGCCGATTCTTCGAGAAAAATGATTATACACTATCTCTTTCCAAAGGTATCTCGAGGATCAACGTTTTCTAATTCTCCTTTTCTTTTTTTCTTTTTTCTAATACGATCCTTTTATACGTAGGTGTGATTGATGCACAATTTTTCTTCGTAAGAACACGTATGAAAATGATATACAGAATAGGATCCTCGTATTCGTGATGGATTGGCTCCAAGATCTCCCGGGGATACCGCAGAGATAGAAGCAAATCCTATTACATGTACGTAACTATACATATATATTAGACGCGTATAATACATGCTGTATACATACCTACGATAATATTTTATTTATTACACGAGATTGCGCGTGAAGATCTAAATTAATGTGATTTGGTAACCTCCATTGCGATTAGATAACGCACGCAAATATAATACGCAAATTTTTCGATCAACCTGGACGATGAAATCCTAAAGGAAATATCTATCGTGTTAAAATTGTTAACGCACAACGATTTTTTCACGGAAGTATTTTCAATATTTAGAAGATTAATAATGTAAAATTGAAAAAAAACGTACATTTCGTAAAACCGATCGATCAAACGTAGTTGCTGCAACTCTTTCTCGATACACGACCGCACAATCCTGATGAAGATTAAGTATCTCGAAGGCAGAGTAGAGTCGTACACGAGATACGATACGGTGGATGTAATGAACGTGTCCTGGCCGCGTCATTAATAATGTATGAGCACGTCAAGCTCACGCGAAGTTCACCTAAACTTCAAGACCTTCTAAATACCACCCCCTCCCCCAAACATTCCTCCCTTGCCACGTATCACGCTTTCAAACAATTCAAATCCTAATGTAAAAATCGATACTCGGGATATCCTCTGCTTGCATCCGCCCCTCAACATGATTGATTAAGACAATCTCCTAAGTCGGCAACTCTCGACTTTTAACACACAGGAAATCAAGCAGATTTCAAAACTTCTGGAAAGTCGACGACGACGAAGCGTTCGATCCAACGGAAATCACGATACTGAATATTCTCACGACTCTACGAGATATAAATAATATGCGTATTAACTCGCTCATTGTTTTCGAACGAAGCCTAATACGAAATGTCGAAACGAAAACAAAGCGATGGAAACACGTTGTGCGTCGCTTAAAATTTATTAAGCCGTGTTTATATACAAGGAAAGGAGGATCGTCACCGTATTCTATAGAAATCAAAAAAGTATAAACAAGATATCGCAATCGTGTTAATAAGAAGATTGTAATATATTTTCGCAAGAAAGAAATTCAAAATTCTCAGTTAAATAATCTTGATAATTAAATGAAATTTAAAGAAGGAGCGGAGAAAATATATCAGTTTCAACGAATAACTCTATCTATATAAAATCCAAACAATTCTTTAACACACGAAACGGCGACAAAAGTTAGAGAGACGATCTTTTCGCTCGATCCTCGTGATTTCGCTCGCGTTCTCGCTGGCTATTCGTCATAGCCATTGGCTCGGACCCAAATCCAACCTATAAGAAGGCACTTAAGTGCGAACACAAGGAATCAATTTGCACGTTGCCCACCACTGCTTTTTCCTACCCTCTTCTATTTCTTCGCCGCCCTCTCCTTCCTTCGAGACGAAGAACAGAAAGAGAAGACGGATTTGGAAACGATTGAAAACGTCCAGAAGGATCTCTGGCGAACGTCTGTCCATCGAAACGATCCTCCAGATTATCGATCGATCAGTGAAAAAGAAAAAAAAAAAAGGAGGAGAAGGGTGAAAAAGGAGAAGAGAATCGTATGCACTCGCGCGTTACTTTCGTGAGAGAATTCCTTTTCCGCGAGTCACTCTCGACGCGCCTTTTTCCACGAGAAATTCCTCGAGAGAGAAAGAGAGAAAAAGAGGAAAAGAGAGAGGAGCCTTTTCTGTGGCGGAGGGGAGGTGATTTATGGATGAAAATCGTGGATGGAACAAGCGTCGACGCGAGAATATTTCCTCGCGAGAATTGATCGTTTGTCGGATTTTTATCCAATATTCGTTTCGGATCGTTTCGTGCGCGTTTACGTGGTTCATTTCTGCCAATTTTTGATAACGTTTCTATCTTGTTATCTTGCTTTTCTGGAAGAAAGTTTATTGGTCTCTTCGTCTTATGAATTTATAGTGGTCAATTTTTATTTAGAGAGAAGAGAAATTTAACACGATGAGAAGAAGTCTTGGAAGAATTGGAAGATCATCTTTACCATGCAATTACAATTAATAAATAACAAGTGACAGAGTTGTATTATTTTTGCTCTTTCGTTTTGCAACGATGAATAAGTAAACTTGAATAACTCGATAATCCAATTTCGACCGACATTTTTCCATATCAACTTTTGTGTTTATTTTTACACTCCAAATTCAACCCTCTGAAT